TTTCATTGAGTTCGATGTTCAGGTTGGTACTCCGATCTATAATCAACTTTAGGATTTGATGAGACAGGGGATTTTGTTTTGTTCGACTGGGGTTTATGTTTTTTTTTTTTTTTTGTGGAAGAAGATTCTGATTTAGATATCTATTTATAGATTCTTAGAAATTGAAATGAAAATAAGAACAAGAAGATTTGAAGAAAAGAGAGATGAAGCATTCACAAGGAAAAGTGAAACGACGAGCTTTTGTGTGGTTTTTCTTTTGTAGGTGACAAAAGATGATTACCCTGTTATTTTCCATGATGATTTTATCTACTCTGAAGAAAATGTGAGTCTACATTGCTTTTTCTTAGATCTTGGATTTATTTCTCTGGATCTTGGCTTTGATTGATCTGGTTTTTGTGTATTATATGGTTTAGGGTATTGTTAATGAGAGTAGAGTGACGGATCTGAGTCTGTCTGAGTTTCTCCTTTATGGACCTCAGAAGGAAACTGAGAAAATAGGGAAGACCCTGATGAGGAAATCTAAAGAAGGAAAGGTTTTGAAATGGGACGTTGATTTGGATGATTCTCTTTGCACGTTGCAAGAAGCTTTTGAACAAGTTGAACAAACTCTGGGGTTCAATATCGAGTTGAAATTCGATGATCAGACGGTTTATGAACGAGAGTTTCTTGTTCATGTCCTGAGATCAGTTTTGCAGGTATGCCCAATACTAGTTCCTTACTCTTCCTACTTTTTCTTGTTGGAGTATGAACATTTATTAGGGTCCACTAGTACCATTTGTTAAAAATGCTCACTTTTTGATAATGTGTCACCAAATTGGGTTTTGTCCATATCCCTTTTTGGATCTGGATGGATTGAGAACTGTTAACTTATCATTTTAGGACATCATAATCCTTATAGAAAATTTAGTAATTCTTTTTGTGTTGATCTGTTATAATTACAGTGAAGTCGCTTTGTTTGGTATTTGTAAAGCTCTTAAGCTTATTCTGTTTATTTTTTCCCATTCTGTGACAAAACTACAGGTGGTCTCTAATTATGCTAAAGACAGACCAGTGATCTTCTCAAGTTTCCAACCAGATGCAGCAAAACTTGTTAGGGAACTGCAGAGCACTTACCCTGTATGTTCCATTTTCGCTATTTTCTTTGATAAATGACAAAACTTTTAACTTATTCATTGATAAATCACCTAAGATCTTAGCCTAGAAGGAATGTTGACCTAATTTAACAATATGTTCTGAACTGAACCCAGGTTTTCTTTCTGACTGATGCGGGGAATGAGGTTCACAATGACGAGAGAAGAAACTCGCTCGAAGAAGCCATTCAAGTTTGCTTGGAAGGAGGTCTTCAAGGCATTGTCTCAGAGGTAAAAGGAGTGTTCAGAAACCCAGCAGCCATTAGCATGATCAAAGAATCGAACCTCTCTCTTCTCACATACGGCAAACTAAAGTAAAGCTTCTTCACTTTTCTTAACAAAGTTTAAGGACCTTAAGTCTGTTTCCTTATTGCTGTTGGATCCGATCACTGATTCTTATTTAAAATGTGTTGCAGCAATGTCGGAGAGGCAGTGTACATGCAATATGTGATGGGGATTGATGGAGTGATTGTTGATTTTGTTGAGGAAATTATACAGTCCACGACACTCATGATGATAAGACCACCACCACCATCATCATCACCATTACCATCACCTTCAAAGTATGATGATGTTGCCATTACAAGACCTGAGTTTTCACAGAAGGAGATATCTTTTCTTCTCAAACTTCTCTCTCAGTTGATACAACATTGATGATGACCATCTCTGTTTTCTTTTCCTTTTATCCCAAGTTTCGTTTTAGAGTTTCATTTTCTTTTTAATTTTTAATTTTCTTGTTGATTTTTTTATTATTCTGGGTGTATTACCCAATAGTTGGAACTGTAAATAATTATATAATGTTCTTTCTTTTTACAAGGATTAACTAATGATTTATTATTCAGATATTTCAGAAAACATATATCCTGAAAAAGCTAACTTGAAAATATCATTTTAGGGCAACAAAAATGGTTTTGATGGATACCATGAGGACAAAAGTGTTTTGTTTTTAAATATGTTCGACACTCAGCATAATGCTTAGCTGGAGAGAGAAAGCTTAGTTTTAGGACTTGTCAAGACTCGAGAAATATGAAGTCTAATCTGGGTGATAATAATTTTATCAAAAGGGGTCGAAGAACACTGGAAGGTGGATGCGGCAGATTGATTAGCGACTAAAGAATTACCCTTAACACATGTTTTGCTGTAATATTTCTAAGTCAAAATTATTCTCAATTATATCCCAATTAGAATTTGAAGTATTTGTCTTTGTTCCAACCTTTAAAAGGATGCTTGAAGTTCCAATCAAACTACAACTCATGCTCTCCGATCCCTCTTCTGCCTTAACTATGAAGAAAACAAAAGACATTCGTTTTTATTGTTTCTCTTCAGTATCAAATTCAAGAATCCAATTCCAATATCCACAATAGAAAGTCTCTTTAATATAACAATCTAAAATAAAAACAGATTCACGTCTCTAAATAAAAATTTATGATCAACTAAAGCGGATTAATTCAAGTAAATGTTCTTATATGGTCAGATTTGTTACTATACATGCTTGATTTAAACGTTTTCTACTTCAATTATATTTACATCTCTAAAATCCGAATCTAGTTTTAGTTATAGAACGATCTATATCAACTATTGATTGCTAGTACAATCAAATTTGAATAGAAATTCAAAATTATAACCACAAAATTAAGTTTATTTTTAATATGGAAGCTTTTAATTAACAAAACAAAATAAATATAGATATACAAAAAATTTAGGAATAATTTAGGATAATTGCAAAAAAAATTAGATTATGGTCTAGAAGTTTCTATTATATCAAAATTACTTATCGTTTTTGACAAATTTGTTGAACTTTAAATATTTTTTAGATGTTATATTCCATATTGTCAGTATCATTGTAATGTTAATTCTATCAAAAACAAATCACGTTATGAAATAAATATTCCATTTTTGATGTAAAAATGTCAAATATCAAAACATTAAAATGTAACTGTCCCTTATTTACAAAACTAAAAGCTCATGCATGCGTGGCGTGGTATTATCTATTCAATTTTTAAAAATGTTTTTTTTTTTTTTGATAAACTTGTAAGGTTTTCCTAGTTCGATTAGGAATCAGAGTTTACTTACTTTCGAAAGTATATATAAAGACTTGAATTTATCCCTACTTCTTCGTAACAACTTAATATTTTGGCAGCTTCGTCGTTTTGGTTGATCAAAAAAAGGCAGATCCTCAAAACAGTCTCAGATATTCTCTCACAAAACCGTGTTATCTCAATCACAAAATTCTCTTTTTTCTTTTTTGATTTCTTTGCTGTGAGAATAATGGGCCCAACATACAGAGATATGCCATTGCCAATAGGTATGAGGTTTCGTCCTTCAGATTTGGAGATGGCTGTTTATTTTTTGAGAAACAAAGCTTTAGGACTTACCATAAAAGCTCGTACTATACCTGAAGAGTGTCATGATATCTTCTCAATACATCCTCGAGACTTGCCTGGTGAGAGACTACTTTCTCCTATATATAATAGATAATGTTTATGTCAAATCAGTCTAGGGTTTTGTTTCTGAATTGTAACAAATCTTTTGATGTTTGTGTTTCTTGATTTAACGTTGGATACTTCTTTCTTGAGTAACAAGCTTTGTTTTGTGAATATATATGCTAATTGAATTTGTTGATCTGTTTCTGATTTTCTTGTTCTTTCAGGCTATGGAAGCGAAGAGCATTGGTACTTCTATTGCCAAAAAACCAAGAATCAAGTTACTACTACCAAATCTTATCATCTCTGGATACCAACAGGAGAAGAAACTGATGTGTTAGATCCAAAAAAGAATGGCGAATTAGTCGGTATCAAACGGTCATTTGCTTTCATTGAGAACGAAGAAGAAGAAGAACAAGAATCCGATAATAATAACAACGGTTTGTCTGATGAAGAAGAAAAACCTCCACAATACAATTGGTTCTTGGATGAAATTAGCCTCCCATTGACAGTTCTAGATACTGATTGGGTTTTGTGTCATATCTTTAACGAGAAGGTTAAACCTGAATGTGTTAATTTGCTGCCTGCTATAATCGAATCTGAATCCGAATCCGATCCATCCGAAGTAGAAGATGAAGAAGAAGATGAAACTGTTCTTCCTCCACCTCCTGCTTCACCTTAGCTTCTTCTTGAAATTGTGTTTTAGCGTTGTTGTTAGAGTTTTATGATCTTTCCCCATGGCTTTTTTACTTCATGTGAAAACACTAATGTGATGATTCAATAATTAAGGACAGAGTTTTGGTTTTATATGTCGAATAATTAAAAAAGTGAAAAAAATATATAAAGAGTTTTAGAATCAGAATGAATGCAGACAAAATCTATGAGATAATAATAGCTAGGTCTTGGTATCATCAACAACAGAGTATTTGATTCTCTATTTCTCTCAATACCTATCATTTATCAAAGTCCAAATCTTTATTACCTCTAAGCAGAGTTTTGTTTAAGATGATTATTTCATTTCAATTTCGGTTCAAAGAGAGACAACACTTGCTCGCTGATACACACACATAAGTGTGCATAGAATCCTTCCTCCACTAAACGGCTCATGTTAGCAATCTCCCGCCTACCTTGCTAACTTGCGCTCTTACGAACTATTGTTGATCTCTATTTCAATAATTGTTAGGAGGTCATATATATGGATTGATGGAAGATATTTCTATAATATGATTTGTCCAAATATTGAAATATCCAAATCCTTAATGAAAAAGATAAAGAGATGTTTGACCAGCTTAAAACTTCCGGTCAAACACCAAAACCTTTTTTTCCGCCTTTGTCATAAATCTTTGACTTTTTGACTTTTCCCTCTCAACATCTCTTTTTAAGATCTCGCCACGTGTCAAACCTGTAATCTGAACCGTTCATCTTACACGCGTGAGATTTATCTCATTTTCTCCTTCCTCCGTCTTTCTGATGTTTCTTCGATCTGTTTCTTTGACCAGAGAAAAAAAAAAAAAACTTTTTAGCTTCTTCTTCTTCTTCATTGAATGTCGTTGAACACATCCCACGATACTTAACAAAATCTCTCACTCTTTCGTCTCTCTGTTTCGACTCGCAAACCATCGAAGCCTCGCTTATCTTAGAGGAATTTGTTGTGATTAGGGTTTTGTTTTGTTCTACGGAAATATGATGAAAGCTTCGTTTGGAAGGTTAAGAAGATTCGCATTACCCAAATCCGATGCGATTGATATAGGAGAGCTTTTTCCCACTGCACAAATTGAAGGTCTTGCTCGAGCCGCCAAGGTAAAATTACCTCTTTTCACTCTAAATTCTGGATCCTCACAAATTTTGTTTTCGGAGATTTAGGTTTTTGAGGAATTTTGGTATTTTTGATCTCTAGATTGTAACTTGGATCAAAATATTCCGATCAAAAATCACTCGAATTGGAAATTTGAGGACTTTTACATTTATAGAAGTTTGTTCATTAATTTCTACTTTTATAGACTTTCTTTATGAAGAAATTTGGAATTGACATTTATATCAGTTATGGTAACAAATTGATATTGTAACTGATGCTAGTTGATTGGTTGAACTAGAACTGGAAGAAATTTGATATGAATTTAGTGATTTTTGGTGATAATGATAGCTTTCCCTAAGTTATTACTCAATTTTTCAGGATATGCAAGACATGAGAGAGGGTTATGATCGATTACTCGAAGTAGCTGCTGCGATGGCTAATAGCGCATACGGTAAATAAGCATTCAACCTTTATGAATCTCCCATTTTTATAGTTTCTTGCATAAATTTGGATGCTTGATGTTGTCAAACATTGATGTGTACGGTTGCTTCATATGATGCACTTTGTTATACCCGTGAGCTTTAGTGGGTTGAGTTACTTTGTTGATGGTTTAGGGTTCTTTTAAATTTTGTGTTCAATCTGTTTCATTTAAGAACATCAGTATATTGTCAGACTTCATCTTTTTTATTTCTTTTGTTCGGTATTATCAGAGTTCTCTGAATCATTGGGGGAAATGGGTTCATGCTTGGAGCAAATCGCGCCTCATAATGATCAAGAAAGTGGTAAGCTTTTGAAGATTCAGCTATCATGGGATGGGAGTTTGTTTGTCCCTGTTTCCATGATGTAACATTGTTTCTTCTGCAGGTGGAATTCTTCTAATGTTAGGTAAAGTTCAGTTTGAGCTTAAGAAACTCGTCGACACTTATGTAAGTTGTATGTTGCAACCTTGTACCTTTCATGAAGCAATATGTATAATTATGAACAAAACTGAGGAAGTTCTTGTTTCACTTTTTTTTTCCTTCAGCGTTCTCAAATATTCAAGACCATTACACGACCTTCAGAGTCACTTCTCAGTGACCTTAGAACTGTTGAGGTATGCCCTAGCTTTGGTCTTTTACGGTCAGAGATTATGTAAAAGCCAGAAAAATTCACGGTTCTAGCAAGAGTTAACGCACAACCTTAATAAAGACCCTGATTTTCTCATATTTTCTTTCTTTCCCTCTCAGGATATGAAGCAACAATGTGAAGAAAAGAGGTCAGTGATTTTCTGCGACCTAGTTTTTTATTCTCTTGGTTGTGGTTTGATAAAATCTTGCCTTAAGCTCAGAGTCTTACTTACAGAGACGTTGTTAAGCACATGATAATGGAGCATGTGAAAGACAAGGTACAAGTTAAAGGCAGTAAAGGGGAGAGACTTATTCGCCGTCAGTTAGAGACTGCTCGTGATGAGCTACAAGATGAGGCTACTTTGTGCATTTTCAGATTGAAATCTCTCAAGGAAGGACAAGCTCGAAGTCTCCTCACACAAGCAGCCCGCCACCACACTGCTCAGGTACCTTCTGAATAATATTACTATTCTATGTAAGAAACCTTCCCGCAATTTCTCAATCAGTGTCGCTTATACTTTCTTATATTTGCATAGATGCATATGTTCTTTGCTGGTCTGAAATCGCTTGAGGCAGTAGAGCAACACGTCAAAATTGCTGCAGGCAGACAACACATCGACTGTGAGCTCTCTGATCATGGGAACGAAATGGATTGTAGTGAGGATAATGATGATGATGACCGACTTGTTAACAGAGATGGAGAACTCAGTTTTGACTACATAACAAGTGAGCAGAGAGTAGAAGTTATATCTACACCACATGGATTGATGAAGGTAATATAAATTTCAAAATGAACCTGAATTGGTGAAGAAAAACTTTATTCGTTAAAAGGTAAGCTCATGTACTGCCATTTCCCTATAGATGGATGATACAGATCTCTCATTTCAACGCCCTTCACCTGCAGGATTAGCAACAGTATGTTCTTGTCTTGATTTTCATATCAGATATAACATTTTATGTACTTGAGATTCTCAATTAGTCAACTGTATGAGAACTGCATTGGTGATTATGTGTTGAAGTTATATTCTCTGATGCAGGTAAATGCAGATCCTAGAGAAGAGCACCCAGTTTCAAACCGTGATCGCAGAACGAGCAGCCATTCAGCACCTCTGTTTCCGGATAAGAAATCTGATTTAGCAGATAGATTGATGAGGCAAATGACTCCATCTGCAAATGCTTACATATTACCAACTCCCGTCGATTCAAAGTCCTCACCAATCTTCACAAAACCTGTCACCCAAACAAACCATAGTGCAAACTTATGGCATTCATCTCCACTAGAACCGATAAAAACTGCTCATAAAGATGTGGAAAGTAACCAATATTCCCGTCTTCCCCGTCCTTCAGAACACGCATTCTCTGGACCACTCAAGCCATCCTCAACCCGTCTTCCAGTACCAGTTGCAGTTCAGGCTCAGTCATCTTCTCCAAGAATCTCTCCTACCGCTTCACCTCCGCTTGCTTCTTCTCCACGGATCAACGAACTCCATGAGCTTCCAAGACCACCGGGTCAATCTGCACCGCCACGACGCTCGAAATCTCCTGGTTTGGTTGGTCATTCGGCTCCATTAACGGCTTGGAATCAAGAAAGAAGCAATGTAGTTGTGTCAACAAACATTGTAGCATCACCACTTCCGGTTCCACCGCTTGTTGTACCGAGAAGCTACTCTATACCTTCTAGAAATCAGAGAGCCATGGCTCAACAACCCTTGCCTGAGAGGAACCAAAACAGAGTAGCCTCTCCACCACCTCTGCCGCTAACTCCAGCGTCTCTGATGAATCTCAGATCTCTTTCTCGGTCTCAAGTCGGGGAAGTAGCTCAGAGCGGAGTAATTAGAGGTAACGGAAACAAAACTAACTTACTGTTTTTGTAACTTATCTTAATCATCAATGATTTTAAGACATGGTTTGTTTATATTAACGCAGGAGTAAAACTGACTGAACACTGACCTTGTAACGGTCGCGTTTGATCAAAACGTTAGTTGTAGAAATAGACCCATAAGTAAATATAGAAGTTGGTATTTTGTAATTCCTTTGTTGTTGAATGAATCTCCTGATTTGTTCTTAAGCCTCCGATATTTTTATGCTCTTTTAAATCCTTTAACTTTGACAGATTATTTTCTTACTTATCTCTGAGAACTACCATTTAAAATGAGAATTTAAAGGAAATGATAATTATAACTTTAAAGTCAAGAAAATTGTAGATGGATATTTTCCTTCTAATTATAGTATTTTGCTTTATGCAAGGGAAGTGAAAATGACAGTAACATGACCAAAAATTTGGGTGGGGAAGGAAGACAAATGTACGTTTGCCCTCTCACGTGACAGACCCAAACTGGATATCACGTGATTAGCAAATGGGCCTAGTTTAGTAGGCCCACTTAGAGGATAAGTACCTAACTTCTCGCTTCGTTTGATTGATTTGATTTGATTTGAATTTTCGTATTTAAAGAGCATTATTCTATTTGATTGTGTATAATTTGCATCAAATATACTAGTAATTTTAAGTTTTGAGATCGTGATTTGTGAGTGGCGTGAAACTGAAAAAAATTCTGAAATGATAATAGTCGACCACATACATACAAAACCGTAAAGAATTAAGGGTTGGTTTTTTTTTTAAAAGAGAGACGTAAATAACAAAAAGAATTATTTGTTTTTTTTTTTGTAACAAATTTTTTAATTTATTATGCCGTTGGGGAAAAAACGATAATTATGCCAAATGTTTCTAACACTACAGTTTCCAGAAAATTAAAGGTAAAAAAAGAAAAAAAGAAAAAAAGGAGAGCTATAGAAATGGTGATGCGATGTTGGGATTTGTTTATAAGCCAAGAGACGAAGAAGAAGAAGAGGTCTCTCGATCATCTACATTCTTCCTTTTTTCATTTCCTCTTTCGAATCTTTTCTTCTTCTTCTTCATATATCTTCTTCTCCAATTCGTACGAATTCAGATATTTGGGGGTTTCTGTGAATAATTTTGGATTGCGTATGAAACGTTTCATCCACAGATTATGTAATTTATTGCTCCAATCGTTTTGTTTTTCTTTGATTTTGGTGTTGCTTTGATGATGAGATAATCTCTTGATATGATCACACAAATGTTCTCCTGCCTGTGCGATCAGCTCGAAACTTTTTGGTTGATCTTCAATTGTCGGCGGAATTGGTAGTTTTGTGTTCGATGATTTCTAAAACGATTTAAAAACTTAATTCACTGTGTGCTTAGTGATGTTTGCTTGAATCTCTTATACACTGAGAATCATTTTGGTTTTTATATGTCTCTTTACTTCTATTGAATCACAATCATCTGTTTGTTCATTTGTGCATTATTGAAATTTATCTACTATGTTCTTCACTGATTCTTTAGCTTAAGAATGGTTCTAGTTTATATGATCATCATTTTTCTTACTTCTACAAATTTTGTTGTAGTGATGCAGCCCAAGAATCTGCTAGCTAAGTTTGATTGGATTAAATTCGTATTTGTGGTGGATATGTTGTTGATTCTTCTTCTCCTTTTTTTTGTTTATTTCAGGAGACTATCAGCTCTTTCTTCTCTATCCTCAACATATATATGTTGCTCCAGAAATCTGTCACATAAATTTTATGTCTCATCTCTTTAATGTGGACACCAATGGATGACTTGTGGATGCCTGTGACTTTTGCTTAGTTCTATATTATCTAGATCAAATTGCAACGATTTGGTAGGTAATTGGCTGGAGTAGTGAATCTCGGATTAGTGTCGATAGAGAAGGTCTTTCAAGAGCTCACAGGCAGCTATATAATCCAGTAAGTGATAAGGTCCTTTGAGCATTGGCATGGGTCTGCCACACACTGCTTCAAATGAGCAAGACCATGAAGCTTTGTCTGCTCCAAGTTGCAGTCTTTCTCAAAGTCTGCCTGTAAATGCCACTTCTTGTGATTCAGATGGTATTAACAGAGGGAATGAAGGAAGTTTCTGCTTCTCTATTGGAGAATCTGATAGGCAAACAGCATTGGAATCTTTGGAGTTTAGAGATGACTTATGGAGATTCCATGACACTCGGGCTGTTACCTCGTTATCTGCTCACGAACCGCCTTATGCAATGGATAAGGTAAATTTGAGTCGAACTGAAGTTAGAAGGATAGTTGGTTTCGAATCAAATGAATCTAGCTCACCGAGTAATGAATACACGAGTATCACTGTTAATCGCACTGGTGGATCTAATGAGGTAAATATTATCGGTGGATCGTTAGTCAGGAAACGGGTAAGCTCTCCTCTGAATAAGCTTTTCCCTGAGAAATTTAGAGGCGACTTGCTTGATATCAGCCGTAGCAACCAACAGTTGACTTCTGCTGGTATTCCTAATGGATTTCACATTCCTGTTGCACAAGATCATAAAAAGGCCAATATCTCTGGGAGATTACGCCTCTTTACCACTTCTACCTGCTCTGAATGGGGGAATGACTCGTCACACACGGGTAAACTTTCATCTACTGTTTTCACGGATGGTCCATTGCTTGACTCCAATGATCTGCAGCCCACAAAAGATGTACATTGCTTATACTTACCATTACATGAAACATTTCAAGTACCTGCTAAGCCATCACCATGTCATAGAAACATATCTGTCTCTCCGCCACTTTCTCTGTCACCTCTTGGGCCAAGATTCCCCGAGAGAATGAAAGCTCTTCAAGGGGGCCTAAATGGGAATATCTTCGAAGATGGCGTTTGTTTAAAGAATACTGGTGAAGAAGCAGAACTCAGGACTGGTCATAGATTGTTTGATGATACTAATGGTATTCAGAGAGCCTTTTCAATGGATAGAGCTATTGAATCAGTTCCTACATCTCCATGTAAAAGATTTAGTAGAAGCTTGAGTGGACGTCCCATTCAAAGGTCATTGGTTGGTTCGTTTGAAGAATCCCTCTTTTCAGGAAGATTATCCTATGGGCAAGCTAATCAGGTCTCACTCACACCCAAACCCATGACACTCACATAACCTCGAAGCCAAAACTCTTTGTTTTCAAAAATCCAAAAACATAAAGACATTTAACATTTGACTCACTTACTCTATTTTTGTTTCCTTCTTTGCAGAAGATCGACGGTTTTCTTGCCATTCTTAGTATTGCTGGCGGAAACATCTCTCCAAAATCACAGAAGCTTCCATTCTCAGTAACAAGTGTTGGTGATGATTGCTTATTACTATACTATGCCTCCATAGATCTCTCTAAAGGATCATTGCCAAACAAATTATGGGGTCAGAAACTGAAAACCAACCAAAACAAGTCTGATGCTCAGACCATCATTAATAAACGTCTCCGGATTCCTATGAAGGGTCGGATCCAACTGGTACCCTCTTGTCTCAATTGCCTTTTTTCTTAACAAAATTCTCTTCATAATGTAATAAATTAAGGTCACTGGATAACAAATTTATGATAGGAGCTTCTCTGTTTTGCAGGTTCTGAGTAACCCTGAAAAGACACCTCTCCACACTTTCCTCTGTAACTATGACTTAACTGATATGCCACACGGTACAAAGGTAACTTCAAACCTTCCTCCCATTGTGTCGATTGTTGCTTGCGTTTGTGTTTATGTTGCTTTTACATTAGCATTTAGTGTATATTTTTTCAAATCAACTGTTAGAGCTAACTTGATTTCCAAAACTTACCTTTGCAGTTAACAAAATCAATTTTATTTAAGATGTAATGATTCAATGTTTGATCGAATTCTTGTGTCATGATCAGACCTTCCTGCGCCAAAAGGTTACTCTGGCCTCCTCTGTTCGGACCAAAGCCAAAAAATCTGTAGATACAATAGACAAAAGTGTTGCAAATAAAAGTAGTGAAGGATCTGAATCAGTGGATGAATTGCATTCGCCGAATGAGTGTAAGAACAAGAATTGTCGTGAGACGTACAGAGAAACAGGACAACGATGTTCAAAGTCTGGAGTCTTACGCTACGCACTTCATCTTAAATTTATTTGCCCTTTACGCAAGAAAGCCTCAAAATTAGGTCAGAAGAAAAGCTTGGATGCAGGAGATGATGGAGAGAGGAGATTCTATTTATATAATGACTTGAGAGTTGTGTTTCCGCAACGCCACACAGATTCTGATGAAGGAAAGGTATGTTAGAAAACTTTATTCAAATTCATTTGGGGTATAGAGCTACTTGAACGCAAACGCAAAACGCTGATGTTGCTTTTGAAATTGCAGTTGAATGTGGAGTATCATTACCCAGAAAATCCAAGATACTTCGACGTGTAACCAATGGAGGAATCTCTGCTTCCTAAATCGTTTTTCTGTTTTAGTTATTGTTAGAAGAAAATAAAAGAATGTTTTGTACATAAGATAAAAGAGCGTTTCGGTAATAGGGAAATTGCCCCACAACGTTCGGTAATTATCAGTTTGCCCATGTTGGATTTGAACCTTTGATTAAATCTACAAAATAGAATGCTTCAATGAGAACAAGAAGAAGAAGAAGAAGAAGAAGAACATAGCAAAAGAAGAAGCAAACGGCTCGTGATTGAAGAGAAGAAGATGTTGTCGTGTGGAAGAGTCAACGACACAAGAGTAGAAGCACAACTGCACAAGTCAACAATGTTGGGCTTGAGTGTTTTTGTAATGGGCTGCAGAATGAGTTATACAACAGCCCAAGATCTTTTAGTATATAGAAATTTGCCCCACAACTTCCGATCGTAGGTCTATGCCTCTTACATATTATAGCAAACCACAATGCTGAGAAGTTTTATGTTAATATGGTTAAAATCTTACACAAAAAAATTGAATCAACGAAGACATTGATCAGTGTTGCCAATACGAAGATTGAGACAAAAATTACTAAAATCATATATATGAAAGGAGGCTATCTCTCTCCATCTTTCAGCCACGTCAGCATTTTTGGCTCTTCTGAAGATGACACATCAGCTTTTTATTCGTCCAATAAAAACATTTCATTAATACACATCAGCTTCTAATTATAAGTGTCAAATGGAGTAAACAAATAGCTCATGACGGATGGGCCATATGTGTTTTAGAATCTATTAGAGTGGAATATTAATGGGTCGAGCCCATTTCAGTGATGGCTTAATGCTTTTAAACCCAACAAATATTCTAATTCCCCACAAGATTTTAACAAAATAAATCTCTCTCACTCTCTGCTCGATCGTTCAATATGAAAGAAGAAGAATCTCAAGGCAAATTTCTCGACTTCGTAAATTCCATTCTTCATAGTCTCCCTTTCTGTACATCATATTTCTTTAGAACAAACGTTTTCTACCTTCTAACTGTCAGAATGGAGGCCACGATAGAAGTTACACAAAAACATATTCACACTCTCAGCTTACGGGATTACAAACTTTCACTACTATAAACTCTATAAATACTCAAACAGACATTGTTTATACCGGATTATATGTGTTTCAGACAGCATCAATAAATATTTACCAAGGTGCAAGGAACATAAAAACGATACAGAACCACCATCATGTACAACCTACACGGGAATTACAAAATGAAAACATCAGATACAACTCAAGTTGACAATATCGATATACACAACATTGAATAGCTACTCACCTGAATTATCACTGAGGTGGTGCTATTTGGAACAACTTTCAAAACACAAATACTCTGTAACGTCCTTTTGAGTATCGTTTTATACTCCCTTTCAACTTTTCCTATCAATATTCAAAGCAAAAGTAATTCAGATCTAAAAACAAGAATCACCTGTACGACATACTCAAGCAACAAAACAAGCCTTCTTCTGAACAACGAAACGCATTTACGATTACCAATCTATCCGGCTTAAGGCTTCCATATGACTTCAAAACAAGCCTTCTCAGCATTTTCGTTCTTCTTTGTTCCTGCTTTAGGTCTGTATTCTGCAGCTAGAAATTTTGTATCCCTTGAAAATATAAATGAGAGAGTTCAATGAATCCCATTCAAAAAGGATAAAAAAACTATGTACCTATAATAGATATTGATAAAGCTGATAAAGTACCTTCTGACCAACTAGCAGAGCCATGAGGACGATGAAGGATATTACGGGAACAAGCAAGAGGTCTCAACTGACAAGTAAGTCTTTTTTTGAGTTATATTTCAAATCAGAAAATAGATCTAATCTTAAAAATTGTAACTACATAAGATAGTAGTTTTATTAACTACATAATAACAAATAAAAAATAAACATAAATTAGCAAGAACATCAATAATTTTTTCTTCACAATTTTCAAAACAAATCCACGCGTAGCGTGGGTATTCATCTAGTGATCATAAAGGGAGGATACTGAACCATCATCAACTACAAACCTACACACAACAAAGCCAAAGAAAAACTACAAAAAAACATTCAAATCAAGAAAAATTGAGATTCTTTGTTCCTACATACACAAAAGATTCCGACAAACGCAACCAAGAATCACCTGAAACCACAGAAGAGTACTCAAGCAAACCAATTTGACCGGATTTAGGTTTCCAAATGACTTGAAAACAAGCCTTTTCCGGGTTCTCGTTCTTCTTTAAATATACAAACAAATACACTCAGTGAAAAGAAAGAGTTTCACAAAAAGACTGGCCCAGAGTAACAGGCCCATCAGATATTTTTGTCGTTAAAGGTTTTGTATTAAACCATTGTGCTAAAGGGAAGCCAAACAGTCTCATAAACAAACCATCTCCTTCTTCCTTTTTCCTCTCTTTGTCGATTCATCTTATAGATCCTTACCCTTTCTCCATTCTTTCCTTTCAGAGTTGAAATGGCTACACAGTTCTTCGGGCGCCTCCACTAACTCAATCATTTTTTTTTTTTTTTTTTTTTTTTTTTGAAAATGGACTAATTTGTTTGGTTGGCTTCCGACGAATCTTCTCGTCTTATGGTGTTTTCTTGTGACTTTTGTTTTCAGGGTCAGAAAACCTACCAAGTTTGGTAGACTGAAATAGTATCTTTGGGGGTTTGTTAAAGTGATATGGCGAAAATCAGTGACTTGTCAGATGAATTGCTGGTGAAAATATTGTCGTTTCTTCCAACACAAGTTGCCGTATCCACTAGCGTTTTGTCGAAACAATGGATGTTTATTTGGATGTGGTTGCCTAAACTCGAGTTCGGCTTTAGAGTTCGTTCAAGGTATGCATGCCTGAGGGATTTTATTGACAAGAATCTGCCATTACACAAAGCTCCGATCATAGAAAGCCTGTGCCTTAGCTCTTTTTGTGGATTACTTCAACCTGAGGATTTGAAATCGTGGGTTGGAATTGCAGTTTCTCGCTACGTGCGTGAGCTAAGTATTAACTATTCCTCTTATGACCGATCTGTTGCATTATTGCCGTGTAGTTTGTATAGATGCAAATCGCTTGTGACTTTGAAACTTATAGGCAAGAAGATTCTTGTGGACGTTCCTCCAACGGTTTGTCTCCCTTCCTTGAAAACTTTGCGGCTTGATAGTGTGACATACTCAAAAGACGAGTCTCTTCGTCTGCTTCTATCATGTTGCCCTGTTCTCGATGATCTGTTTATTGACCAAGACTACTTCAAGTTAGTTAATATTCCTCAAAATGTGTCATGTAGTTTGTATTCATGGAAATCGCTCGTGACTTTGAAACTCCATGGCGAGATTCTTGTTGATGTTCCTCCAACGGTTTGTCTCCCTTCCTTGAAAACCTTGCAACTTCTATGTGTGATATATTTGAATGAAGAATCTCTTGGACTGCTTCTATCCTGTTGCGCTGTTCTGGAAGATCTTAGTATTGAACGAGGCTGTAATGACAATGTGAAAGCGTTAGTTGTTGTTGTCCCGTCCTTGCAGCGTTTAACTTTAACTATAGAACAAGGATGTTCTGCTGATGGGTATGTGATAGTTACCCCTTCTTTGAAGTATTTCAGACTTGTGGATAACAGAAATGAAAGCTCTATTGAGCACATGCATATGCCAGAGCTCGAAGAGGCAGATATCAGTCTAATGGAGGATATTGCGAAAGATATTGAAATGCTTTTCAAATCAATCACAACTGTCAAACGTCTATCATTAAAAATGTCATTCAACGGTGGAAATGAGGTAATATGTTTCCATCTGTCCACAATTTCTCACTTCGAACACTAAAAATCTTGAGTTTGAATCCTTTGTTATATGTCTGCAGACTGTGCATCGTGATGGTATTGTCTTCAGTCAGCTTGAAGATTTGAAGCTATATATACGCAGCGACAATTGGTCTAAGTTACTTGTCCACTTGCTCAAACATTCTCCTAACCTGCAAATCCTCAATCTCTTGCTCGATTATCCTGTAAGTGTTTCTTCGTCAACTACTTTGCGGTAAAGGTCAGCATGGTGTATTGGTGTAATTTTAACTCTTCTTTTTTTTCAGTTCATTGGAGATTATACGAATTATGAACCGGTTAGGTGAATAATCAGAGCTCAGTTCCTAAATGTTTCTTGAATAGTCTTGAGACTTTCAAGTTTGAAGGGTACAACAGTGGGGAAGCAGAAGACAGGGATTTCTTGAGTTTTATCTTCAAACATGCTCGTTGCTTGAAATCTACATCAGTCGTGCACGTATGATTTTATGTTCCACAATTGAAACTTGAAAATGATCTAAGAATCGTCGTATTATGGGTTTCGTATTTGTTTTGTTATCGAAGAACAATTAGGTTTTTTATTTGTATTTGGAACTTGTTTTTGAACAAAACTTGTGCCTTATTATTTGGTTAATTATTATATCGTCTGGTTATGTCATACAATTTATGTCTGTGCCTTGTAGGGTTTTACCTCAACAGTCAAAACAGAGATCAACACAGTAACGACCAGGAAAATGTAGTAAACTATACCAGAACTTGGCAGTTTGTTAGCATCCCAACTTTATTTATCCTGATTTGGATATTCAGTCTAACGCAACCAATAATCACCTAAAACTACAGAAGAATCAAGCAAAGAAAATAAACTAAACTCATACTGATTACATACCAATTTGACCGGATTTAGGTTTCCAAAAGAAGCCTTTACATATTATAGCAAACCACAATGGGTGAAGAAGAGAGATGCCATGCTGAGAAGTTTATGCTGCTGGAAGGAGTAAGAGACATACATAGTATATGAAACCTTAAGTTAAATATTATATATACCAACGATTGTTTACAATAACATACCCAAATTTACGTGTTTAATCACACAGTTAAATAAGGTATCCTGTAAGTAGAATAAGGTATTATCCGGTAAATGGAGCACAAAATCTAGTAACTAAATTTAATGATTTCGGAGATCAAAGGTTGGGATTTGGGAAGAGAAACCGTGAGAGAGGTAATAGAGCGACCTCGGCAAAATGTTTCTGTAAGGATCAGTTTCTCTTTTCATCTTTAAATAGGTCATACATCTTTCAACCTCAGACTTGACCTCCAAGTAAACCTCATGAGCTTTCTCTTTATTATTTAGCTCTTTCTCTCTACCTTCTGTTTCTATTGGTTTCCCAAAGTATACGTAAAACCGTCCCGGAATCTTGGGAACTATTCCAGGCACATGCAAATCTTGTTTTCCCAATTCGCCTTCTTCATCGTTCCTAACCATATATTTTCATCACTATATTCAGAATCAAATGTTATATCAGGTTCATGTGATTATTTCTAACAGAGTCGATAAAAGACATACCTCAAGTTAACGGAGTCTTGTGTTATCTCTTCAATAAGATTCTTCAACAAAGGGATCTTCATTTGATCATTGTAATCTAAAACCATCTGAGAATCATTCCATTGTACAGAGGAGTTAGCCGAAACCCGATTGAAACAAAAAAAAAAAGAGTTTTAAGAATATATTAAACTAGAACGGAAAAGAGTTTGTGCATTCTTAAACTATTTTTAAGAATGCATTTGATCATTGTAGTCCATGACCATCAATCTTACATTGTTCAAAGGAGTTACTCAAAAACCTATGAAAATAAAAAGAGTTTTAAGAATGCAGATGTTGAAACTAGAACGGAAAGGAGGTTTTTTGCTTACTTCACAAAGATCATCTTCACCAACAGCTCCATAAGGAATGATTTTTGCTCCAAATTTAGATGCGATCCTTACAAACTCCGAGTGTTCTGGCCAAAACAACTTGTATTCTTCACCCTATAATAAAATGTGTCTTTAGATGTAAAACCTCAAAAATTAAAATGAAGGCAAATATGGAAAATACATAATCACCTTTCTGTGCAAAGCTTCACGAACACCTCCAGGGTACAAAGCCACGTGAGCCTTTGAACGAAGTAGTTTGTAAAAATTCATTCCCGAGACAGGAACTGCGCCTATTATCCTAAATAAGTCGTACAACTGCATATCAGGGAGTTTTGAGCCAAATTTTTTGGTAAACATCAATGGATGTGCCAGTCCTCGCAACAGAATGTTCCTTTCTTTCAAGAAATGAAGTGCTATTGCATGCAACTCCATACCAAGCAACATGTGATTGCCAACATACAGAACCGGTCCCTCTGAAGGTATTCCTGCAAGCGATCTTACTACTGCACCATTGTTTAGAGTTGAGAGAAAGACTGGGGAGGTAACAGCAGTTAGCAATCTGGACCAGAGAAATTAAAAAAGATTACTACTTCAGTATGTGCTTATGGTAGCAGAAGCAAATCTTCTATTCTAGCTAAGTAGTACTATACAGAATATTTTCACTAGATCTAAGTCAAGAAGTTGTTTGACACAGCAATTAGAGAAGTGATAACATTTTGTGACACACAGATATTGATGTGAAAAGTGAGTCATTTTACCTTTGTGATTCTTCATACTCTTTGAACTCAAATGGGGTAGGCAGAATGTAATCCGAAATGTAATCAAGTGACTTCCCACGGCGATAATAATAGGCACGCTTGATGATAGTCACCAGATCTACTCCATCCTCCTGACATGACACAAATAGATCAATCGAGCTGAATGTTATTAAACCAAACATAATCTGAAATTTTTCTGTGCCAACTCTGATGCAAGAAGTTTTCTATTGGCTATAAGTCGTAGAAACTAGATTTCCTTGTGAATCAATTAAATAGGAGTCACTGACACAAGGAAAACTTCTTGCATAGAGCTCCTTACCAAGAAGAGGAACTGTCCATTATTCTCAAGCTCACGAACTTCACATCTTGGCAATGCACCACGGAGTCTTTCAATGTCTTCCTTGTTCATTAACCATTGATCACGTCCACTGCAATAACACAGGCGTATTAAAGCTACAACTCAGCTTCCAATTAACTAAATTCATTACAAACAAATAGATCTCTGAACTTCCACTTATATTCAGTAACGAAACAAAGAAGTTTACTAGTGTATGAACCTCAGAAGTATCAGTGTTTGGGCGTTGACTGTGTCCATCTGAGAATTAACAGACGCTGAAGCAGACTTAAGCAATTGAAGCTTCCATAGAAGTGTGTCCTTGGGAAAGATTCTAATCAGAGTCTGTAAATAATTTGTTTTCGTGAGTTTATCTTATGACATATATAGAATGACTAGAGAAAGTAAAATCGAAACAATAAAATGACGAACAATATGAACTGCAAGACAAACAACATGCATCAATCATTTGTTTTCCTAAAAGAGAGTCTTACAGGCAGATTAGATGAAGTTGCAAAGAAGTCTCCTAATAGCCCTCTACCCATCTTCACGGCATCAGTTTCATTGAGCATAGTCTCGAACATCTCTGTCAATGGAGAAGCTATGTAATAAAACAGTTAGCCCTGACTTTGAGGCAAGAACTGACACTGAAACCCATATTTGAGACCGAATTCTTTGCATATAATTTGTTTTTGCTTTACATCGATAGACGTGGAAGATATACAAAGGGTTGAAACTTCACCTTGGTTAAACACGAAATTCTCTGTTATCAAGCTGGGAACTTCGTCAGGCAAAATTTCCAGTAGGCCCAATAAAGGTTGCAACATGAAGTTGTTGAAACGTGTGACTGCATCAAACAGAGTCTATTATGACCACAAGATAAGATGTATACACTCCATGAGATCTACCTACACAAATCCGCGCAAATAAAAGAGTATTATGTGTGCACAAGCCAACGAAAAATAAAACACTTTTTGCATGATTAGAACAATGCTTTACCAACAACGCTTATATCATAAAATGGGTGCTTAGCTCATGACACTTTTTCTGAGCTTGCAACATTGTGGTTTCATAAATGGCCGAAAAAATCTTAGGAAACAAAGAAAAAGAACACAATAAAGGATCTCAATTCTCAATGATCCAGAAAAAAATGAGTAGTCTTGTTTTACCTGGATTAGCCAGAATCAAGACAAGATCAATATCAGGGTTACTGGCTGCAACATCTAGAGCAAGAGAAGCTCCAATAGATTCTCCAACTATATATATTGGTCTATTTGGGAAATGGTAGTGCTCTGACCTAACTGTCTTCTCAATGAGCTTCACAAGATCTGAAAACAACAGTAAGAGTTTCACTCACATAAGATTATGAAACGCTATATGCGACTTCAGATAATGCAGACAAAGAAGCACCTCGAGCAGGAGTACGATCTTTCACTGGAAAGTGAAGGCACCATATGTCAAATATCCTATGATCACAAAGATAATGAGATCAGAAACAAAGAGTATTCACTAGATCTCTACTTCTCTTCAAGCTCTAAGGCAATAAAGAAGATTGAATCAAACAAGACTTACTCTCCAAGCCTCTTATGTTGACGAATGAGCCCTAATCCAGTACCATCAATCCCTGCAATTTTGAAAAACTAGTTTTCACAATTCGATTTCAACCAAATCAGAATAACGAAATCAATCAAAGGAACTATCGATTTCAGTCCTAGATTGAAAGAAACAAACCAGGTAAGTATAGAAGAAGAGGAGATCCAGGAGCACGTGCGCCACATTCCAACGGTGAGAACCACCGTGGCGGACCACTATCTCCGCCGTCTGATCTGACGAAATCTCCAGCTTCCACTAAAAAATCCGTCAAACTCTTCCGTTCCTCAGGCCGTACTTCATCCGTATAAGAATACGGATTCACCGTCGCCTTCAACTTCACATCGATTCCAAATTTCCGGCTCGTAAGCCGATCAAACGCGACGGAGGTCAGTCGTTGGGTTGAATTCCAGAAGCAACAATGGAGATTAGAAGCTCTTGTCGAAGCTGAGGAGAAGGTAGGAGAGATTCCATCAGTGATAGTAATCGCCATTGATGATCAGAAAAAGTTGGAAGAAGGTTCTTGTTGTTTAGCTTCTTCATCTTCTAATAGGTCGAACACGACAAGCTCGTGTACACGAGAAAAACGATTATAAAAATATGCCACGTTGATTTTTTCAGTTTGAATATTTTCAAAATTTCAAATTTTGGCTCGGTTTAGATGGAAACTTGCTTAAATTCAATTAAGCTGGTTCGGTTTGGTTCAAACCGGGTTGGTTTTAGTATATGTTAATTAAACTATGTATGAACCGCGTAATACCCCAACTATGTGATTTCTTAAGAAATTGAAACTTCAAACTTGCTTTAACTCAAAATCTCCTCTAGCAAGCAATATTATCAGTAGACTAGATAAAGGTTGCAACATGAATTTGTTGAAATGTGAGACTGCATCAAACAGAGTCTATTATGAGCACAAGACAAAAGATGCATATATTCCATGAGATTTACTCACACCATTACACTTACCAAAAAGAAGCCATAAGCCCTTAAAATTAAACTGTTCAAAAAGATAGCTTAACCTAAAACATCATGATAAGTGATAACATTCCAAAAGCAGAAGTATTTTCCTTGTAGAGTTAAGCAGAAAATCCTTCTTTAACAAGCTTTGCATAGAAACTTTGTTTCTTGATACCCAATTGCATGTCCTCACCAAGCAATGCCTTCCATTCATCGGTTAGCTTTTTCCTTTGTGTAGCTCCAAGGTTTTTCAAATTTCGAAGCAGAGACTTCTGTTGATAGATACCTAAACTCGGAAATGCAGCCGCCACCTCAAGTGCATCTTGCAGAACATTCAAATCCTCACACTTGTCTTTCTCACCATCATCAATCGCATTAGTCACTCGTTCCTTCAAAACAAGATTAGTATATATTAAACTGAGATGGTAGATAAAAAGAAGATTGGTAGAAGAACACACACACATACACAAACTCTCACTTTTGTTTGGTCCATAATCTCATATTTGGTTTTGTTATTACCCCATATGACCGTAGACAATTTGAAGACTTGTTTATCATGAGCACTAGTAAAAGAAAGTCTTTTTCCAGCATTAGATCTGGCCTGATTCTCACCAAATCTCAGCTTCAACTTGTAAACCTTATCTACTAGCTGTTTCTTAGAGAAATCTGATCCCATTGAATCTCTGATTCGATCGTAAATCGCATTCCAGTCAGATGTGTAGCTAGACTTGTTTTCTTTTTCATAGTTCTCAATACCCTTAATCCACAACAACAACAACAACAACAATGGAAAAAGGTGAAAACTTTATTAGGAAAAAGAACAGAGAAAACAGAGAGAATAAAGCTTAGAAATTGCAGACCTCGAGAATGAGAAGCTCTTCGGTTTTAGTCCAGTTCCTCTTCCAAGCACCTGATGAAGAAGAAGGTTCCAACAATGTCGTTGCCGTCTTCAGTTTCTTTCTCTTTCTGAGCATCATCTCCGAAACGGAGATGTCGTCATCTTCATGTTTTCGGATTTCAAAGCAATCAGAGTTTGAGTAGTCGCTGGAATCACTTCTCTGAAGCTGTCGCTTCATCGGTGAGTGATAAAAGATCAAATTTTTTAGAAATTTGGGGAATTTTGTTAGAACCCTAGTTTCTCTCCAGCAAGCGTTAGAGTGGACTTGACAGGTGACAGGGCAATGGCACTGATGAGCTAAGAAGCACGGAAGCTTCGTCGGACGTCCGTTTCCCGCTTCGGAATTTTAATCGGAATTGGAAGCTCTCGGAAGTGTTCGGAATCTCGCTTCCATAACGCTTCTAAAAAATTCATTTTGGAAGCTTACGATTCTATTTTGGAAGGTTGCGATTCCATTTAAAAAATTTGATGTCACAAAATAAATAAGAAATAAGAAATTATTTTTGATAGTTTTTTATACAACAAAAGAGAAACCAAAACTAATTTTGCATACTAATTTTGTATTTTTTTTTTTTAAAATATCATAGTTACAAAAATAATAGCAGCATGGATCATTTATTAGGGAGATGTTGAAATGATTAATTGAATTAAATTAATTTCGAGAAATTTGAGTTTGAAGATGTTTTTATTGGTAAAAAAAATTTTAAACAATTTTATTTGATGGAATTAGTAAAATGAGAATGAAGAATGATCTTAAATTTTTGACTTTGAACTATTTGACTTTTCTCTATTGTAAACGTACACAATTTGATTTTTAAATATAGAGAGATATTTAGAATTTATGTATTAGATTTGTATGTTAATTATAATTTTTTATATGATATAATGTTTAATGTTTAATTTTTATATACGCTTCCAACACGTATCCACTTTCTATAATTTCTATAAAAATCGTTTTCACGTTTCCAAACGCTTCGCTTCCACGTACCCGCTTCTGATTCCATGCAACCTAGCTGATGAGTGATAACGTTGGAATATCTAGAGTCCAAAAAAACTTTAAATGACCAAAATACCCTTTTCTCAATTTTTGGGCTCCAAATGACCAAGGAAAAAGTCTGAGGTCTTTCTTATTTACAAATCAAGCACACAGTCTCTTTCTTGTTATTGCAATATTTCACCCAACAGGAAATATTTCCCAAACTTGCATGAATATTCACTTAACACCCCAAACTAAAAAAAATATGCAAGTTCATGATTCTGCCAATGTTATAAAATACTCCTCGAACTTACCCAACTTCCACATTTAAAAAGCCACACTTTTAAAAGTTACAAAACCAACCCACACAAATCTAGTAACTAAGTTAAGTGGTTTCGGAGATCAAAGGTTGAAATCTGTGAAGAGAATTCATGAGAGAGGTAATATATTTCGGTAAGGATCAGCTTCTCTTTTGATCTTCAAATAGGTCGCGGACGTCTTCCTACCTCAGACTTGACCTGCAAGTAAACCTCATGAGCTTGCTCCTTACCTCCTATGTATTTCTATCGGTTTCCTAAAGTACACATAAAACCGTCCCGGGATTAATCTAAATTTTGTAATCCATGACCATCTGTGAATCATTCCATTGCTCAAAGGAGTTACTCAAAAACGATTGAAACAAAAAGAGTCTTAAGAATGCAGGTGTTGAAACTATAGAACAGAAAAGAGATCTTTGCTTACTTCACAGAAGTCATCTTCTCCAACAACGCCAAAAGGAAAGAAATTTTTGCTCCAAATTTAGAAGCGATTCTCAAAAACTCTGGCCAAAACAACTTGATGGCTGATATGATAAGTTATAAGCGAGTCATTTTACCTTGATATTCTTCAAATTCTTTGAGCTCAAATGGAGTAGGCAGAATGTAGTCAGAAACGTAATCAATCGACTTCCCACGACGTCGACCATAATAATAAGTACACTTGATGATAGTCACCAGATTCACCCCATCCTCCTAACATGACATGAAGTTGATCAGTCCTCTAGCAACCTGGGAATTCTGTCAGGCAATATTATCAGTAGACCAGTAAAGGTTGCAACATGAAGTTGTTGAAATGTGTGTCTGCATCAAACAGAGTCTATTATAAGCACTAGACAAAAGATGCCTATATTCCATGAGATTTACTCGCACAAATCCCCCCAAAAAGGAATATAATGTGTACAAAAGCCAACACCATTACACTTACCAAAAAGAAGCCATAAGTCCATTTAATTAACTGTTCAAAAAGATGGCTTTAAACACAACATAGAAATTAACCTAAAACATCATGGTAACATTCCAAAAGCAGAACTATTTTCCTCGTAAAGTTAAACAGAAAATCCTTCTTTAACAAGCTTCGCATAGAAACTTTGTTTCTTGATACACAATTGCATGTCCTCAGCAACCAATGCATTCCACTCATCGGTTAGCTCTTTCCTTTGTGTAGCCCCAAGGTTTTTCAAATTTCGAAGCAGCCACTTCTGTTGATAGTTACCTAACCTCAGAAATGATGCTGCCACCTCAAGTGCCTCTTGCAGAACATTCAAATCCTCACACTTTTCTTTCTCACCATCATCACTCACCCGTTCCTTCAAAACAATATCAAACTGAGATGCTAGATATTAAGGAGATTGATAGAAGAACACGCACACGGCACACTCACCTTTGTTTGGTCCATAATCTCATTAGAAGCAGAGTTGGTGGTTATGTTTTTACCCCATATGATCTTTGACAATTTGAAGACTTGTTCATCATCGGTGTTAGTAAAAGAAAGTCTTTTACCAGCAATAGATTTCGCCAGATTATCTCCAAATCTCAACTTCAACTTGAGAATCTTATTAGCCAGCTGTTTCTTAGAGAAATCTGATCCCATTGAATCTCTGATACGATCGTAAACCGCATTCCAGTCAGATGTGTAGCTCAACTTCGTTTCATTTTGATAGTCCACAAGACCCTTGTTCACAACAACAACAACAATGAAAAAAGGTGAAAACTTTATTAAGAAAAAAAAACAGAGAGAATAAATAAAAGCTTAGAAATTGCAAACCTCGAGAATGAGGAGCTCTTCGGTTTTAGTCCAGTTCTTACAAGGACCAGAAGAAGAAGGTTCCAACAATGTCGTCGTCGTTAGTTTCTTTCTGCTTCTGAGCATCGCCTCCGACCCGGAGATGTCGTCATCTTCATGCTTCCTCGTGTAACGGATTTTAAAGCAATCTGAGTTTGAGTAGTCGCTGGAATCACTTCCCTGAAGCTGTCTCTTCATCGGTGAGTGATAAAAGATCAAACTTTTTACAAATTTGGGGAATTTTGTTAAAACCCTAGTTTCTCCTCTCCCAGATTGAGAAGAGTAAGAGCAGCAAGCCTTTGGAGTGGACTTGACAGGACTGACTGACGTTGGAATATTTCAAGTCCTAAAAAACCGTAATTGACTAAAATACCCTTCTCCCATTCTCTCACATTTTGGGCTCAAAATGCACCAACGAAAAAGTCTGAGGTCTTCTTATATAACACCCTAAACTTACTCAACTTCTACATTAACACCTATATACTTTTTGAAGTTACAATAACAAATCCAAGTTTTAGTTTCCTTCAAATTACTTGAATCCAACTCGTTGCTAACGAAATTTAGTGATTTTGGAGATCAAAGGTTGGGATTTGGGAAGAGAAACCATGAGAGAGGTTACAGAGCGACCTCGGTGATATGTTTCTGCAAGGATCAGTTTCTCTTTTGATCTTCATATAAGTGGTCATACATCTTTCAACCTCAGACTTGACCTGCAAGTAAACCTCACGAGATCTCTCTTTACCATTCAGCTCTTTCTCTCTACCTTCTGTTTCTACTGGTTTCCCAAAGTATACGTAAAACAGTCCGGAAATCTAAGGATCCTAGTTCACCTTAATCATTGTAGTCCTTGTGATGTTCTAATCAGAGTCTGTAAATAATTTGATTTCATGAGTTTAGTGAATGAAAAGATAAAGTATAACCAAAACAACAAAATGAATAACAAAAGAGATCACATTACTAGTTAAGCACGATGATCTGCTAGACAAAACAATCTATCATTTGTTTTCCTAAAATAAAGTTTTACAGGCAGATTAACTCAAGTTGCAAACAAGTCTAAGCAGCATCATCAGTTGCATTAAGCATTGTCTCCAACACTTGACAGGTTGATCTTTGCCACTTGTATTTTGAATTGCTGTACTATGTTTGTGTTCCATGATCCTTTGCAGAATCCTGACCGCGTCTTCAAAATCTCCTCCTTGTGAGCCCATCCACCATGTATGCTTCCCTTCACTTATCTTTAAAGCCAGCTCATTCTTAAGTTTTGCCAAAGTAATCCTTCATGCTCAATGTGTAACCCTCCTGAAGCCCTCTTATCAGAGCCTTGACATAAAGATATATATCCAACTTCATCAGACCTACATATACCTGATTACGCTCCTTGATAAGCTTCGTCATGCTACTGTTGCTAACATCATTAGTTTTCTCATGCAGCTTTTGCTCAGCATCTTCTTCTGCATGTTGCCTACTCGTACGATGCATCTAGAACAGCGGAAGCACTCCAGCTATTGTGTTCAAAGGGATGCTCATCGAATATCAACTGAACCAAATGTGATACATCTTCACCATCATAGAAAGATAAGTGTTGTTTTATTTTAACCCAAAATTCTCCTCCAGGCAATATTATCAATAGACCAGATAAAGAATGGAACATGTTGAAATGTGAGACTGCATCAAACAGAGTATATTATGAACACAAGACAAAGATGCATATTTTCCATGAGACTTACTCACACCATTACACTTAACAAAAAGAAGCCATAAGCCCTTCTAATCAACTGTTCAATAAGACGGCTTAAACACAAGAAAAACATTAATAGGAAATAGCCTAAAACATTCCAAAAGCAGAACTTGTTGAACTAGGCAGAAAATCCGGCATTTACAAGCTTTGCATAGAAACTTTGTTTCTTGATATCCAATTGCATCTCCTCAGCAAGCAATGCCTTCCAATCGTCCTTAAGCTCTTTCCTTTGTGTAGCTCCAACGTTTCTCAAATTTTGAAGCAGCGACTTGCGTTGATTGTTACCTAAACTCTGAAATGATGCAGCCAACACAAGTGCCTCCTGCAGAAGACGCAAATCATCCATACCATCTTCCTCACACTTGTCTTTCTCACCATCATCAATCTTCAAACTTTCCTCCTGCACCGCACAAGACACATCCTCCTTCAAAACGAGACACAAAAGATCATTACGTATTACTAGTAATATTAAAATTTAGGAGATGGGTAGGAGAAGAAGACAAACTCACACCTTTATTTGATCCTCCTCATAAGCAAAATTTGTTTCTTTTTCAGTACCCCATAAGATCTTTGACAATTTGAACACTTGTTCATCATGAGTATTAGTAAAATAAGGTATATTTCCATCGGTAGCTCTCGCCTGATTAGCTCTAAATCTTCTATTCTTCAACCTGTCAACCTTACTCATCAGCTATGTCTTAGAGAAATCAAATTCCATGGAATCTCTGATACGATCGTAAACGGCATCCCAATGAGATGTGTAGCTCAACTTCGTTTCTTTTTGAAAGTTCACAATACCCTTATCCACAACAACAACAACAATGAAAAAAGGTGAAAACTTTTTAAAAAGAAGAACTTTTTTAAAAAAATAGAGAACGAATTTAGCTTAGAAACTAGAAACCTGGAGAATGAGGAGCTCTTGGGTTTTAGTCCAGTTTATCTTCGACGCAGCAGAAGGAGAAGAAGATACCAACCATGTCTTCTTCCGTTGCTCCCTCGTTCTGAGCATCGCTTCCGTACCGGAGATGTCGTCGTCGCTGGAATCACGTCCTTGAAGAGGTCGCTTCATCAGTGAGTGATCAAAGATCAAAACTTTTAGAGATTTGGGGACATTTTGAAAAACCCTAGATCGAGAGAGAAACAGAGTTTTTCCTTCCTTCCAAAAACCCAGAGAGTAAGAAAAGAGCAAAGCGTTGAAAGTTGAAGACTGTGGACTTGGACTGACGTTGGAATTTCGCTAAAATGACTAAAATACCCTTTCCTCATATTTTGGGTTCAAAATGCAACAAGGAAAAATTTAGTGACTTTTGGGAGAGCAAAGATTGGGATTTAGGAAGAGAAACCCTGTGAGAGTTTTAATAATAGAGCAACATCGGCAAAATGTTTCTGTTTAAGAATCATTTTCTCTTTTGGTCTTCAAATATTTCTACCTCTGACTTGACCTGCAAGTAAACCTCATGAGCTCTTTCTCCCATAACTTTGTGTTTTCTATCGGTTTCCCAAAGTATTCGTATAACCGTCCTGGAATCTTGGGATTTATTCCAGGCATATGGAAATGAAATCTTGATCTTCTTCTTCATCGTTTCTAACCATACACTATCATCATCATCAATCAAATTTTAAATAACAACATTTCATGTGATGGTCTCTAATGGAGAGTCGATTACAAAAATAAATACTGAATACCTCGAGTAAATAGCGTCATGCGTTATCTCTTTTATAAGATTCTTCAAGAAAGGGATCTTCATTTGATCATTGTAATCAAAGAGACCAATCATTCCATTTCTAAAACGAGTTAATCGAAAACCGATTGAAATTAAAAGAGTTTTAAGAATTGCGGATACTGAAACTAAAACAAAGAATGATTTTGGCTCCAAATTTACATGCAGATGTAGTCCTTACAAACTCTGAAATCTAAATAGTCACCCTGTAGAAATGTGTGTCCTTAACTTTAAATGTAAAGCCTCAAAAGTAAAAATGTGTGTCTATGAACTTGTAGACATTTTCTTATCAATGCAGAAGATATTGTGAATCTAAAAATTTAAAGCTAATGTGACTCACTAATACAAGGAAAAAATTTGCATCTTGAGAAAGAGCACCTTACCAAGCAGAGTAACTGTCCATTATTCTGAAGCTTACGGACTTCACCTCTCGGCGATGCACAATGGAGTCTTTCAGTGACTTGTTCAGGAATCATTGATCACGTGCACTGCAAAATGCCATATATAGCTAAAACAATTCTTTACTAACAAAGATCGCTGAAACTCTACTTATAAATAATAATGAAGCAGAGAAGTTTACAAGTTTATGAACCTCAGAAATATCAGAGTGCACAAGACAACCAAAAAATACCGATTACACTTAACAAAAAGAAGCCAGGATAATAGTAAATGTTCAAAAAATGGCTTAAACACAAGTTACACAACAAAAACATTGATAGGAAACAACCGAAAACATCTAAACATTCCAAAAGCAGAACTTTTTATCCCTTTCTTGAACTAAGCAGAAAATCCCACATTTACAAGCTTTGCAGAGAAAGTTAGTTTCTTGACATCCAATTCCATGTCCTCGGCAAGCAATGTCTTCCATTCATCAGTCAACTCTTTTCTTTGATTAGCTCCAACATTTTTCATGTTTTGAAGCAGAAACTTTTGTAGATTTTCATTTAAACTTTGAAACGATGTTGACGCCTCAAGTGCACCAAGCAGAACACACAAATCATCCACACCATCTTCCTCAATCTTCTTTTTCTCACCATTATTAATCTCCGTATTCGCATTACTCGCCCGTTCACGCTCCGCACAAGGCACATCCTCCTTCAACACAAGACACTATAATGATCACTAAATATCAGTAACTATAAACTTCACATAATGTTTAGAGACAGAGATTGGTAGAAAAAACACACTCACCTTTGTTTGGTCCTTATTCTCCTCATAAGCATGTTCTGTTTCTTTTTTAGCCCATATGATCTTTGACAATTTGAACACTTCTTCTTCTTGGGAATTAGAAAAAGAAAGTTCTTTTCCCTCATTAGATCTCGCTTGATTCTCTCTAAACCTCTTCTAGATCTCGCTTGATTCTCTCTAAACCTCTTCTTCAACTTCTTAACCTTATCCATCAGCTGTTTCTTAGAGAAATCTGATTCCATGTACTCTCTCATATAATCATAAAAAGCATCATATTTCTGATTGTAGCTAGATTGTGATTCCTCTTGGTAGTCCAAAATCCCCTTTTCCACAAGAACAACAAAAAAGGTAAAAACTTTATAAGAAAACGAAGAGTAAAGAAGATAGTCAATAATAAGCAGAGAAATAACTAACCGAGAGGATAGAGATCTCGTCTTCTTTAGACCAGGTCATCTTCAAAGAAGCAGAAGAAGATGGTACAAATGTTCCCCTCGTCTTCGGTAGCTTTCTCCTCCTGAGACCGGAGATTTCGTAATCATCGTCATGCTTCCTTTTGAGAGGAGACGAAAGCATTGGTCGGGACTCGGGGTCAGATTTCAAAGCAATGTTTCTCGTTTGAGTAGTTGCTGAAATCATCACTTTCATGAAGAGATCGCTTCATTGATGAAAAAGATCAAACTTGGGGCAAATGTGTAAAGAAATTTGGGAGATTTGAAAAACCCTAGTTTTTTCCCAAATTGAGAAATGAGGAGACTTTCTTTAGAAAACACAGTGTAATAAGTAGAACTAAGAAAAGTGTGTTGTTGGACTAGACAATGCATTGACGTTGGAATCTCAAGAGTCAAGAGTCCAATACTGTAAATGACCAAAATACCCTTCTATTACATTTGGGTTTCAAAATGCACCGAGGATAATTCTGGAAAAGTTGTCAAAAGTTGTTGTTCCGGTCTTGATTGGTTAACTAAGATGCGTTGAGTTTTTGTAACATTTCTTACAACAGAACGAAAATGGTGTCTGACTCAATTTCTATAAAAGAAAGACACAAAGATTATTACACCAGTTTCTTGGTATTGCTCTGGGTGTCTCTATGTCTATCACCAGAACAAAAATGGGGCCCGGATTTCATTGGTCCGGCTCTGGGTGTCTCTATGTCTATCTTATTAACCTCAAAGATTATTACACCAGTTTCTTGGTATTGCAATATTCGCCCAAAGTAACTCAATTTCTATAAAAGAAAGACACATATCTTCAAAGGTAAACGTTCTTAATGTGTTGTAAGACCATAAACTTGCATGAATTTTTAACATAACACCCCGAACTTACTCAACTTCTATATTAACAGCCATATACTTTTAGAAGTTACAATAACATATCCAAATTCCACAAAGTTAATTAAGTCACAAATTTAGTATCTAAATTTATTGATTTTAAAAACAAAAAAAAAAAAAAAAAATTATTGATTTCGGAGGTCAAACGTTGGGACTTGCGAAGACAAACCATGTGAGAGGTGATAGAGGGACCTCGCTAAAATGTTTCTATAAGGATCACCTTCTCTTTTGATCTTCAAATAATTCATACATCTTTCAACCTCAGACTTGACCTGCAAGTAAACCTCATGAGCTTTCTCTTTATCATTTAGCTCTTTCTCTCTACCTTCTGTTTCTATTGGTCTACCAAAGTATACGTAAAACCGTCCCGGGATCTTGGGAATTATTCCAGGCATATGCAAAGCTTGGTTGCCTACTTCTCCTTCTTCACCGTTCCTAACCATATATTATCATCAAGCAAATGTTATATAACATTTCAGATGATTATCACTAACAGAGAGTCGAAAACAGAACAAACAAAAAAAAACTAAACACCTCAAGTAAGTAGAGTCTTGTGTTAACTCTTTTATAAGATTCTTCAGGAAAGGGATCTTCATTTGATCATTGTAATCGAAGACCACCTGAGAATCATTTTATTGTGCAAAAGAGCTTTTAAGAATCGCAGATACTGAAACTAAAACGAAGAAGAAGAGATTTTGCTTACTTCACAGAGATCATCTTCACCAACAACACCAAAAGGAATGATTTTTGCTCCAAATTTAGATGCGGTCCTTACAAACTCTGAATGTTCTGGCCAAAACAACTTGTATACTTCACCCTGCATAAATGTGTCTTTCAATGTAAAGCTTCAAAATTAATACGAAGGCTAAATATGAGATATACAAATTATTACCTTTCTGTGCAAAGCTTCACGAACACCTCCAGGATACAAAACCACATGAGCCTTTGAACGTAGTAGTTTATAGAAATTGATATTTGAGACCGGAACTGCGCCTATCATCCTAACTGAGTCGAACATATGCATATCAGGGAGTTTTGAGCCAAATTTTTTGGCAAACATCACTGGATGTGCCAGTCCTCGCAAAAGAATGTTCCTCTCTTTCAAGAAATGAATTGCTGCTGGACGCAATTCGGTACCAAGCAACATGTGATTGCCAACATAGAGAACCGGTCCCTCTGAAGGTATTCCCGCAAGTGATCTTACTACTGTACCGTTGTCTAGAGTTGAGAGAAAGACTGGGGAGGTAATAGCAGTTAGCAATCTGGACCAGAGAAATAATAACAGTACTTCAGTATTTGCTTACAGTAGCAGAAGCAAATATTCAATTCTAGCTAAGTAGTAATATACAAAATATTTTCACTACATCTAAGTCAAGAAAGTGTATTACAGAGCAATCAGAGACGTGATACATCTCTGACACAGCGGATATTCATTTCACCTTTGTGATTCTTCATACTCTTTGAGCTCAAATGGGGTAGGCAGAATGAAATCAGACACGTAATCAAGCGACTTTCCACGGCGATAATAATAAGTACACTTGATGATAGTCACCAGATCTATCCCATCCTCCTAACATGACATAAAATTATCAATCTGAAAGTTTGCTAAGCCAAATTTTATGCAAGAGCTTTTCAACTGGTTATAAACTGATACAAGGAAAACTCTCTTACATCAGGACAAAGAGCACCTTACCAAAAATAGAAGCTGTCCGTAATTCTCGAACTTACGGACTTCACAATTCGGCAATGTACTATGGAGTCTTTCAATGTCTTCCTTGTTCAGTAACCATTGATCACGTCCACTGCAAGAGTCATAGTCTTATTAAAGCTACAACTCGGCGGCCAGCTAAGACATTTTTTTACGAACAAAAAGATCGCTGAACTTCTACTTATAATTAATAATGAAGCAGGGAAGTTTACAAGTTTATGAACCTCAAAAGTATTAGTGTTTGGGCTTTGACTGTGTACATGTGAGACTTAGCAGATGCTGAAGCAGACTTAAGCAGTTGAAGCTTCCATAGCAGTGTGTCCTTTGGAAAGATCCTAGCCAGAGTCTGTAAGAAATTTGTTTACGTGAGTTAATCACACTTAAAACAACAAAATCAAGATCAAACAAGAGCACATTACTAGTTAAACATTATGATCAGCAAGACAAAACAACATGCATCTATCATTTGCTTTCCTAAAACAAAGTCTTACCGGCAGGTTAACTGAAGTTGCAAAGATGTCTCCGAATAGCCCTCCACCCATCTGTGCGGCATCAGTTTCATTCAGCATAGTCTCGAACATTGCTGCAAACGGATAACCTATATAATGAAAACACAGTTAGCCCTGATTTTGAACCAAATCCTGACACTGAAACCCATCTTTGAGATAACCTATTCAGATCTAGAATTTGCATCTAATATGTCTTCGATTGGGAGATATACAAGGAGGAGTTGAAACTTCACCTTGTTCAAACCGAAAATTTTCCTCAAGGAAGCTGGGAACTCTGTCTGGCAAAATTTCCAGTAGACCCGATAAAGGTTGCAACATGAAGTTGTTGAAACGTGTGACTGCAACAAACAAAGTCTATTATAGCACAAGATCATCCATGAGAGCTATGCTTTACCGACAAACGCTTAAATCATAAAGTATTCTCATGACATATATCTGAGCTTACAACAACGTTCTTCCATAACTTTAGCCTAAAAAACATAGAGAACGACAATAAAAAATTCTAATGATCCAGATAAGAGCGAGTAATCTCTTTTTACCTGGATTAGCCAGAATCAAGACAAGATCGATGTCAGGGTTACTGGCTGCAACATCTAGAGCAAGAGAAGCTCCAATAGATTCTCCAACTATATAAATGGGTCTATTTGGTAAACGGAAGTACTCTGACCTAACTGTTCTCTCAATGAGCTTCACAAGATCTGAACACAACAGTAAGAGTTTCATCCACATAACATTAATCCATTTGGTTTGGAACCGTAATGAAACTACAGAGAATGCTGACAAAGAAGCACCTCGAGCAGGGGTACGATCAGTGACTGGAAAATGAAGGCACCATATGTCAAATATCCTATAATCAAAAAGATAATGAGATCATAAACAAAAAGTATTCACTAGACTTCTACTTCTTCTTTTGAAGTCATTTTGTACTACCTATCGATAAGTCAAAGTTTTTTAAACATTGAAACAGGAGCTGTGCACAATGAAGAGCTTATCTCAAGCTCTAAGGCAATACAGAAGATTGAATGAAGTTTGAATCAAACAAGACTTACTCTCCAAGCTTTTTATGCTGACGAATGAGCCCTAATCCAGTACCATCGATCCCTAAAATTTTGAATTCATAGTTTTGTTAACTTCATTTCCACAATTCTGTAGAATTCCATTGTCCCAATCAGATTAACGAAATCAATCAAAAGAACTATCGATTTCAGCCCTAAATTGAAAGGAACAGACCAGGTAAGTAGAGAAGAAGAGGAGATTCTGGAGCACGTGCACCACATTCCAAAGGAGAGAACCACCGAGGCGGACCACCATCTCCGCCGTCGGATCTAAAGAAATCTCTAGCTTCCACAAAAAAATCCGTCAAACTCTTCCGCTCTTCTGGCTGCGCCGCCTCCGTGTACGTATACGGATTCACCGTCGCCGTCACCTTCCCTCCGTTCCGTAGACGTCCATCGATTCCGAATTTCGGGATCGTAAACCGATCATGCGCGACGGAGGCCAGTCGTCGGATTGAATTCCGGTAGAAAAAATCATTGGGGTAGATTCCATCGGCGATACAGAGTGTGGGAACCGCCATCGATCAGAAAAATCCGAGATCGAGAGAAGAACGATTTCGTAGTCCAACTTCTTCATCTTCAAGAGGTGGAACGAACACAAGAAGCTCGTGCACACGAGAAAACAGCGATGAGTGCTCCGCCATTCTTTTATCGAGGTCCGCATTTCTGTTTGAATTGTGGTTTAGACTCAAAATTTACCAAAATCAATTGGATTTTTCTCGGTTTAGCAGAAACTTATCTAATTCAATTCAGATGGTCGGTTTGGTTCAAACCAATATACAGTATGTGTTATTTATGACTTATGATTGAAGAGTCTTGAAAGTTTAACCAAAGACATGTGAAAATTGGGAAAAACGGTCTATTTCCCCACGAGAAGTATCGCATCATAACAGATAGAGCCCATTCTTTGACCTCGGTCTATATCTCCATGAAATCAAAGTTGTATTCCTATTTCTCCCCGAATCGAAAGTTCTATAGCTAAATGTCCCTGAATCTGGGTTATATCGGTTTGTGCTTTAAACCCAAAGTAAACCGTATACCAAACCACTAATATTTGATTCTCAACTGAATTTAAACATGACCCAGCCGTAAATGCTCCGATATCATCTTCTTCTTCACCGGATTCTTCAAACAACAAAAACAATCTTGAAAAATTTGATAT